GAACAAAGTCAAGGAAATAACTGACAAAAAGAAGGCTGTCAAGTTGGACAAAGGTGCAGCTTCAAGATTCGTGAAAAATGCCCTCTGGGAACCAAAACCTAAAAATGAATCCAAAGTTGCCAGTAAAGGAAAAAGTAAAAAATAACCTTTTGGTTTTGATGTACACATGTTCAAAAAGTACATCATTTTTATTGTTTAACACAAAACAGATGGTGATTATGTGACAATGCACGGTTTAAATGTATTCCTTATTGAATTCATATATAAAATTTACATTTAAATTTGTAATGCTAAATACATTTCCCCCCAGAAAGATGAAGTTACCTTTATTGATTTTCCTATAGTGTACTGTGAGGTTTTTAACATTGTGGTATGTTTTATATTTATAGTTTACCATCTCTCTTGACAGGACTCTTGTTTCCTTATATAGGTCAACCTTTCAAGTACTATTTTATAAGCAACTATGAACTTTAAGTTAAATGTTCTCTGTAAACATTTGTCTATTTTAAATGAATAATGACTTTATGAATAAATAAATAAATAAATAAATAAATAAAGTAAATGCCTAAGGAAACTAGCAGTGTAATTCAATGACAATGTTTGATCACATTTTGGAATCTCTCCTACTATAAGATTAAGGACCAGAATCACCTTTTTTTTTTTTTTCTTTTTCTTTTTTCTCTCCCAAACCACCTTTTTATGATTCTTGCCTAACACCTGATGGGAGGGAGGAGGAAAGTTGGGAGACAGTTTATAAAAACACAGGTTTGGCCCTGGTCGAGTAGCTCAACTGGACAGAGCATCGTCCAGATATGCCAAGGTTTGGGTTCAATCTCTGGTCAGCACACATACAAGAATAAACCAAGCCCTAGCCGATTTGGCTCAGTGGGTAGAGCATCGGCCTGCAGACTGAAGGTTCCCAGGTTTGATTCCTATCCAAAGGCACATGCCCGGGTTTAGGGCTTGATCCCTAGTGTGGGGCATGCAGGAGGCAGCTGATCAACGATTCTATCTCATCACCTGTGTTTCTATCTTTCTCTCCCTTCCTCTATGAAATCAATAAAAATATTTTTTTTAAAAAAGAATCAACCAGCCCTAACTGGTTTGGCTCAGTGGATAGAGCGTCGGCTTGCGGACTGAAAGGTCCCGGGTTCGATTCCGGTCAAGGGCATGTACCTTGGTTGCGGGCACATCCCCAGTAGGAGGTGTGCGGGAGGCAGCTGATCAATGTTTCTCTCTCATCGATGTTTCTAGCTCTCTATCTCTCTCCCTTCCTCTCTGTAAAAACTCAATAAAATATATTTTTTTAAAAATCAATATAATATATATTTTTTTAAAAGAATCAACCAATGAATGCATAAATAAGTGGAAAAACAAATCAACGTTTCTTTTTCCCTTCCTCTCTCTCTAAAATCAATCGGTTAAAAAAAAATTTAAAAAAAGAAACAGGTGTTTTTGTTTGTTTATTGATCTTAGAAAAAGTGAGGGGCAGAGGAAAAAACATGGATTAGGGATGGAACCCGAAACCCTGCCCTAACTGGGAATCAAACCCACCACCTTCTGGTGTATAGGGTATAACTCCAACCTCTGAGCCACACTGGACCAGGGTGGTTTGTTGTTTTTTTCTTTCATAATATCATGTCTACCATCAACCTCAAATTTTTCCCTTTTTCACCAAAGTTGTAAACTCACCTGAGGGCCCACCTCACTTCTAGGTTTACTCTAACCAATTTATTAAAATAACCCCATAGAAAGTAATTATTTCCCACTATAAGAGATACCTAATAGATAGATTATAATAAATTAGGTGTGTCGAATTCCAGTGTACATGTTTAAATACCAATAGATGTGGAGAAAGAGGTATTCCCATACAGTGTTATAAATTGGTAAAATCATCCTGGCTATGAGTTGAACTATATATAAATTTTTAGTAAGCTTAGCTTTTGACCCATCACTTCTAGGAATACACAGTGCAGAGAGATTCAGTCAACTGCTCATCCAGCTCTACATCCACAGCTCCCACCAATTCTCTCCATTCTATCAAATAGGAAAACAGTGGTTATGTATGATATGGTCCTGTTTTGTCTTCTGTAAATGCAGATTAATGGCTTTGGAAGACTCATTGCCTCCAGGTAAACAACCAAATGCTTCATTAACTCAGCTTATTTTATTCAATTAAAACTTTTTTTAAAAGAGAAAATATGCACAAAAACAAAGAAGAAAGAAAACCCGGAAGAATTACTCTACATCACAAATGTCTTCCTCTCCAACACTAATAATAGAAACATCTACCATTTTTAGAACATTAGTCCCAAAATAGAAACATCTACCATTAGTCCCAAAAAGCATGCTGGAGGCAGCTGATTGATGTACTTTCACATGGATGTTTCTCTTTCTCTCCCTTGCTCTCTCTCTAAAAATCAATAAAAATTTTTTTTTAAATAAAAGAGTTGTTGAGCCCTAGCAGGGTTGGCTCAGTGTATAGAATATCGGCCTGAGAACTGAAGGGTCGCAGGTTCAATTCCAGCCAAGGGCACATGCCCAGGTTGCAAGCTTGATCCCCAGTAGGGGGCGTGCAAGAGGCAGCCGATCAATGATTCTCTCTCATCATTGATGTTTCTGTCTTTCCTTCTCCCTTCCTCTCTGAAATCAATAAAAATATTTTTTAAAAAAAGAGTTGTTGGGAAGGGGCAAGATAATCAGATAATGTCAAAGTATCATCCTACGAAGTAATTACAAATTTCAAAGTGAAAACTGAACCTCAGACTTGGAAGAAATAAAGTGTTCATCACTGTAATAAAGTCATAACATATATGTAAAAAGCCAGCAACCACAACAACCGGAACGACCGACCACTAGTCACTATGATGCCCACTGTAGCCAATGAACCGGCCTGATCAGGGGTTGGGGCCT